TGATTTAAACACATTTATAGTGCTTTTAAAAATATTTTCCCAGCCCTAACTGGTTTGGCTTAGTGGATAAAGCATTGGCCTGCAGACTGAATAGTCCTGGGTTTGATTCTGGTAAGGACACATGACTGGGTTGCTGGCATGATCCCCAGTAGGGGGTGTGCAGGAGGCAGCCAACCAGTGATTCTCTCTCATCATTGATGTTTCTATCACTCTCTCCCTCTCCTTCCTCTCTGAAATCAATGTAAAAAATACATTTTAAAAATAAGTGTTTTCCCAGTAAATTTAATTTTTCTTCTTTTGCAGTCCTTTTTAATTATTTAAGTATATTTATATTTCTGATAGTCATTTTGAAATAGATGAATTTGTCAAATCATCCGTAGTTTCACATTCCCATTAAAATAAATCAGTTATTACAATTAATGATGCATGGAATAGAAATTGCTTTAGGATTCTATTTCAAATTCTACCAGTTCTGGGGAGCAAGGGTGAGAGTGGAGATAACTACTCTATAGGATCATGGAAGGAGGATAGTGAAGAGAAATTTCCCTGACAGGTAACTTATAAATATTTCTCTCCTGCAATTTAATGGAAGAAAAGAAAGGTTAATTGGGATAATTCACACTCAGTGAAAATGTGCATAGTGTTTTTTGTTGTTTTCATTTTTTTTTTTTATTACTTGTCTAAATAGAGTAAAATTATAAAGTAATATTTAATTGTTAACATTACTAAATAATGAACTCAATATGAACATAGTGGGTCTTTTTGTTAGGTTTTAATCAGTGAAAAGTCCTTGGAGGTGGATTTTTAGATCATAGGTTGCCACTCTTGTCCTATATAATAAAAGCCCTAAGAGCAAAATGACCACCAGGGGCCAGACGCTCAACCCAGGAGGAGGGGGAGGGGGGCACAGTGAGGCCTGGAGGCGCATCTATGGCCCAGAGATCCCAGGAACCGCAAGCTCAGAGCTTGCTTTCCAGTAAAAAAAATTAATTGAAAATCAAAAATAATGCCCAATGCTGCCATGCTGGGAAGAACGGCTCCAGGAGGGAAAGGCCTCCCCAGGCCCCACCTGGCCTGGCTGACACAGGCACTCACCAGTGACTGCAGCTACTTCCAACTACTGGCTTCCTGTCCGCCCTTTCCTAGACTAGTGTGCTTGGGGGCGTGGCTTCGGCCTCCCTGGCCAATAGCACCACATCAGCTCGGTGTCCAGCTTCTGGCTTCCTGCCCACCCCTTCACAAACTGCCAGTGCTTGGGGGTGTGGCTTCAGCCCGTCCCCCCCAGCGCTGGCTGGGCATTGATTTGGCCATGTGACTGACATCCATGTGCAGTTACACTACATATTTACATTTGTAGAGAAGCAGGGTAGCCCGCTCCTGCCTCCTGCTTGACCTTCTAAGCTAAGAAAGGCCTGTTGATCTCCATGTTTCCCTCCTGTCCAGAATCAAAACCGCTTGGGGATGAATGATTCCAGCAATGGCCCGAACACATGCTCGGTGTCACTGTCACAGACATTCTCAGTCATTACAGCCCATTCCTCAACCCGCAGTGCCCTGCTCCACCCAACTGCCACTCCTCACCTGTCACACCCTGAGGACCACCTTATGTTATCCTATCTGAAATGTTAGCAAGATCTCAAATGCCCCCCTGTCAATAGCTTCCTTGCCCTACCTTTCTTCCTCTAAAAAGCTTGCATTTTAAATATATATATATATTTGATTGATTTCGTAGAGGGAAATAGAGATAGAAACATCAGTGATGATAGAGAATCATTGATTGGCTGCCTCCTGCACATTCCAAACTGGGGATGGAAACATTCCCTGCTCCCTCCCCCAGCCAGCAGGCCCCCCACTGGCTGCGCAGCACTGAGGTTAGGAGAGAGGGGAGGCAGGGAACCGAGGGGTGGCGGGGCGCTGAGGACAGCGTTGGCATCTGGTGTCTGTTCCTTCAGCACCCAGCTTGGTCACTGTCACCTCCTCTCCTGATTGGCCCTGATCACCTGCCAGGCCTACGGACCCCACCCGTGCACGAATTTCATGCACTGGGCCTCTAGCTTTCAATAAAATTTTGGTTAAAAAGCTGTGGGCTTTTTTCCCCTGTTAACATGAAAAATATGTGAAACACCTTCTGCAGTAGAATCGAAAGCAAAGTATTACTCAGATACAAAAGAACAAAATGAATTGTATCAGTAATGTGATGCATAATGAGATGTTGTGAATTTACTTTTTTCATATATTCTACCTGTATTAGCATACTTAAATTTTTATTTTTGTTGTGAATGTAGGTTAGAGCCAGATATCACCTTAATTAATAGAAGGTCAATAAATTGACTTAATTTGTGGAATGCAGTGAAATTGAGAGTTGAATGAATACTTGGAAGCCATTTTTTAACTCAGCAAATACCTAGTGTGTTTCCCATGTGCCAGGTAAACCAGCTTTCTGAAAGTCATAGTTTAATATAGTTTCTTCTTCACTTCCCCTAGATAGCAGTGATACAGTGTCATTTCTCTATTTTCCCAAATAGCTCTTCTATTCGCCTCTTCTGATCTTTCTCTTCTGTAATAATCTCAGTTTTATCACTAATTCTCTTCTGCCTGTACTATTTTAACAACTTTCACCTAGTTTTCTACTTTCTAGCCTAATTCCCACTGATGCCAGGATGACCTTTGAAAAACACAAATCTGATTTTGATACTCACCTTCTTGATACCCTTAAAGTGATCCTCATTTTATGCCATATTCCTTAATATACCATAAAAGGTCCTTCACAGTTTTTTCCTGACTATATCCTATGCCTTCACCTCACACTCTAAGTTAGCTTAGACTACTTATAGTTTCTTAAAGAACTAACATTTTTTTCATGACTTTGATCATACTTTTCTCTCTAGTCACCATATGGAATATTTGTTCTTTTTAAACCAATAAGAATATTATTAAAATAAGAATAGAATAGTACCACCAACAAAAGCAGTTCCGGTAGATGATCCATATATAGCTTTTACTGTGCACCAGTCACTCTGCCTTCATTACTCATAGTTTTTGCAACAACCCTAAAAGATAGGTACAAATAAGAAAACAGAAGCACAGGAAGCATGTGTAACTTGCCCTAGGTCAAGCATCTAGAAAGTTGGTGTAGCAGTTCATGAACCCAGACATTTGCTACTACATGACATTGCGTGGTCATGCATGAGACTGTTTAAGCATCACTGCATCTGGTTTTCTTTCCAGATCTTACCTCTCCACCTCTCAGGAAAAACAGGCTGCTTCCTTGTTTGGATCTCATCTGTATAGCCCTTAGGTCATGTTACTGCATTTACACTCTTCTGCCTTGCTTCATAAGGACTGGAATACCATGTTTTGTATCTTATCCTTGTATCTTCAGTGGTTTTGGCACATACTTAATGACAAGCAGTTGGATAAATGAATGCATAAGTCACAATTTAAAGATAGAGGGAACCTAAGAGATCATCCCTTTTAACCTTCTTATTTTGTAGATGAAGAGACTGAGATAAAGTGAACATGATGGTAATATCAGATTTTAATGTGGATACTTTACCAAAGTTAAGTTTTAGTACTAGTCTTTAGTGGTTGGGAGATGTTTAATTTGCTTCAAAGCTCAATCTGAAGAGCTGGTTTAGTGGTTGAGAGTGTTCTGGGTAGTGTTGGCAGAATCTGGTTAAGAAGTACAGCATTTAACATGTTCTGTTAATACCATGTGATCATTTATATGCCATATCTGTTAATTATAAAGCAGATGACTAGTATCATTTGCTTTTTTAGGTCCTCTGAATAATGTCTAGATACATTGGTGCTTTTTTTTTTTTTTAAATATATTTTATTGATTTTTTACAGAGAGGAAGGGAGAGAGAGATAGAGAGTCAGAAACATCGATGAGAGAGAAACATCGACTAGCCGCCTCCTGCACATCGCCCACCGGGGATGTGCCCGCAACCCAGGTACATGCCCTTGACTGGAATCAAACCTGGGACCCTTCAGTCCGCAGGCCGACGCTCTATCCACTGAGCCAGACCGGTTTCGGCTACATTGGTGCTTTAAAAAAAAAAAAAAAAAAAAAAAAGTGAGGTTGTGAAGAATTTTAATATATGCAACCTTTGAAACTGGTTGGTAAATTTTGAATCTAGAAAATGGATATATGGGGTTAATGATAATATTCTTTACCTTTTTTGTATACTCAAAACTTAAAACATTTTAATAATATAAAGTAGGGGGCTATAAAGAGAGATTGGGAATAGAGTATAAGCTATAAGATGAGTAAGGAAACTTTGAGAATGAAAAAAATAAGTAAAAATAAAGCCTAAAAGTTCTAATCTCTACTCTGGCTGTGTGAAATTGGAATGTTTATTTGTAAATGTAGGTCTTCATAGTATGCACCGTATACTTTACAGTTTCTTCCTGAGCTTCTTTTGCTGTTGTAGCATAAACAAGTAATTTATGTTTTTTTTATTCATTTCCTACAGATAAAATTTTTTTCTGGTAACTGGCTTTGGCTGACTTTATATGTATGTTTAGCTGAAGATCAATGATAGGAAACATTTTTAGCTTCTTATGGGAAAAAGCCCCAAATTAGCTTACTTTTATTTTTATATAACATAATACCATAAATAGGATTAGTCACTATTGTATATTACATTTATTTTCACAATTATTTTTTTTTCTTACTTCAGAAATTCAGGTTCTTTCACAAGATTCCAGATAAAAGTTATTATGGATGGTAGGTAAGGGCTAATAGATAAATGTTAGCTAATGGTAACATCCTACTTCTGTTAGATGTGTGCACCTGGATATTCTTTATAAGTGAGTAATTTAATAAAATAGCCTTGTGTAAAGGACAATTGATAACACAAGTGTTTAATACTTTTCAGTTCTTAAAAATATAATTGTTGGGAAGTGGGTGTAAAGATATGATTTCTTTATCTTTGTTAAGATTTTGAATTAAAATATATAGAGTTAATTCTGTTACTTGCTATTCTTATTTTAAGGGTTCTGATGACTGTCTTGTGAAAATCTGGGCCACAGATGATGGCAGATTGTTAGCTACTTTAAGAGGACATGCTGCTGAAATATCAGACATGGCTGTAAACTATGAGAATACCATGATAGCAGCTGGAAGTTGTGATAAAATGATCCGAGTCTGGTGTCTTCGAACATGCGCACCTTTGGCTGTTCTTCAGGGCCATAGTGCATCTATAACATCACTACAGGTACTTGTTTTAATCCTTGTACTATCCATTTTTATTATAATTTAAAGTAAGTTTTGAGAAGTTACTTTTATAATTCATTGTATAAAATCTACTAAGACAAAGGAATATTACTTTTTTCTTTATAAATACATGGCTTTAGATAACTTGGTAGTCATGACCTTTGTCATTTCTCGACGTTTTTAATTCTGTTGCTGCTATTTGCATGGTGAAAAATGGGTTTATTATTTGGACTGTGCCACTCTTGTAAAGATGTTTTGTTTTTTTTCTTTGATTGTTTTTCAGTTCTCACCATTGTGCAATGGCTCAAAGAGATACCTATCTTCTACTGGAGCAGATGGCACTATTTGTTTTTGGCTGTGGGATGCCGGAACCCTTAAAATAAAGTCAGTTGCTCTTTTATTTCACAGATGTAACTTTAAAAGCATAAATGTGTTTAGTGGTTGAAATTGCAAAAGTTATAAAGTAGTTGACAATAGGAATAAATTTACTTTATCTTCTTGAGTGAGTAACATTTTGGCTCTTCATTGACCTCTCATTTTTATGCTTTCTTTTTCTTTTCATGCTTCTGAGAAAGTTTTCTCATGTTAACATGTTTGTTTCTTTTTTCTCTTATCTTTATCCTAGCTCTAGCTCTAGCTCTTTCCTATAGACTATACCTGTCTTACTACCATTTATTTCTGTATGCTACTTAGTTTTATCTAACTATCTCCTTCTGGTGCTGAGAACATAATCTTAGAGTTCATAAGCTATTCTTTAGAACAATTGTAATTATTTGTTACCACATCTATAAACTGTAGTTTTTATTGTAGACACTTAGGAAAACAATCATTACATTTTCACTAGGTAGATGCACCCTCCCTTTTGGAGGTTTTTGCATTTATGTTTTCACTTATATTATCTTAGTTTATCAAAACAAGTTGGCTGGAAAACATTATCTTTTGATTAAAGGACAATGAGACAAAGAAAGGTTAAATGACTTTCCGATAGTTAATACAGTTTTTTTAAAAATTGGCAAAGCCAGGACTAGCACACTTCCTTGCCCTTCGGTCCTGCACTGTCTACGCCATGCCACCTTTCAAGTGGATGTAGTAGGTACAGGAAGTGCTCTCTTTACTCCATAGACAGTCAGTGAATGGGGAGGTAGTACATCTAGTGTTTCTACACTGTTGAAATGGCCATTTCTATGCTTTCAGGATAGAAAGTCATTCAGATTAGAAAGTTTACCTCAGTAATTATCTCTTCTGTTTTTAAATTACCAATGAAATGAGTTATTTAATAAAAAAATTTTGCAATTTATTCTTTTAAAACAGTAGTGTTTAAGTAAATTCATATGTATGGACATTCCTGGACAATACCTCTTCTAGTAGGGCATTAGGGGGCCATGGCAGTTTGAGTAACAAAATAAAACAAACTGCTTCATTTGAAAAAAGGATCGTGGCCCTAACCGGTTTGGCTCAGTGGATAGAGCGTCAGCCTGCAGACTGAAGGGTCCCAGGTTCGATTCTGGTCAAGGGCATGTACCTTGGTTGCGGGCACATCCCCAGTAGGGGGTGTGCAGGAGGCAGCTGATTGATGTTTCTCTCTCATCGATGTTTCTAACTCTCTATCCCTCTCCCTTCCTCTCTGTAAAAAATCAATAAAATATATTGAAAATAAAAAAAGAAAAGAAAAAAGGATTGTGATCAAAGACATGGTTCCTTGGAGAAAGCAAATTTCATTTCACCCTAGTTGCATTTTTAATATTTAGAATGTTAAAGGATTTCTGTAAACATTTAGATAAAAGTTGAAATAGCTTACTGATATATATGGACAATAGCACTAGTTAATTGTTGTTTTCCTTGAGCATTTATTTACCTCCCTATGGACATGATTGGGATACCTTTATCTTTTTCATTATTGTTTTTGTATAGAAGAAAAAGTGATTAGTGATCTTAAAATTAGCATGGGAATAAAAATGGTATTACAAAATTAAATTCTTTGTGCTTCTTGAGAATTACATTGCTAAGTATAATAATACTTGTCTGTATCATTGAGAAGTTATTTCATATAACTTTTATGTAGATTTTTTAGAGCCTTTATGTAGATTTATCTATAAACTCTTTACCATAAATTTTTCATGTAAAATTTTTTAAAATTTAGATGTAAGTAGGGCGATACATATAATTTTCTGCTGTTTTTTAAAGTCTATCATAGCCATTTATAATAATTTCGATAGTTGCATTATATTATATTCCATTGAGTTGTTGATCCATACTTTGCTTAGTGATATTTTTTAGTTTTTTTTGGACATACAAGGTTTTCTAGTTGTTTGTAAGTAGTATTCTTTTCTATTTGCTATGATAATTGTTCCTTAAAAACTTTCAAGCTAGAGCCAGGCATCAAAATAAGAGTGATTATTTTTTTTAGATATAGGGACACCTGTTTTCTGTATTACACATAGTTGATACCTGCCAAAAAATTTGACAGGATTTAAATTACCATATTTATATCATATAAGTTTTAATTACTAATTGAAGGCAAAAAATGTATTATGCTATAATGCTTTTGCATGTAAGTGACTTCAGCAATCCTCTCTGCATTAATTGAAAGAATCAGTTTCATCACTAATTGAAACCTGTTTCGGAAAACCAAGGCTCTTGATAAATTCAGAGAGTTTGATGTAGGTTTTGTATGTATGGTAACACTCCCCCCTGCAAAGATGCTGCTTCTTAGGTGAGGAATCTGACTGGCTGGGGCCCAGAAGCTAGCTCAAGAGGTCTCTAAGTAGGAGGAAGCTGTCCAAATATATGTAGCTTAGATTTAAGGCGAGAATTGGAATTCTAAAATATGCAGGTAATAATGATATACAGTTTTTATTAAGCACTTATTCCACTAAGCTAGTACCGAGCACTTTACATTTTTTTGTGTCATTAATCTTTATGGCAACTCGTATGAGGAAGGTATATTACTATCTTCAGGATGTGGAGTGGTGGGAGGAAACTGAGGCGAATACTGACTGGAAGTATACCATCAGAACCCACTTTCTCTGTCTCTTTCTTTTTTTATTTTAAAGAACCTTCTCTTAACTACTGTGCCAAACTAAGTAGTGCTTATTCATTGATAGAGTATCTAGAACTGGTTGAACCTAATTAAAATACTAATAATACTAATATTTATTAATATTTATAATTAAAATACTAATAATACTAATATATATTATGCCAGTAACTAAGCACTTTACATGCATTATACTCATTCAATTCTCTCAGCAACTCTGAGATATCTTCTCTTTTTACCCCCATGTTACATATGAGGAGCCTTAGGTACAGAAATGTTAACTTGCCTAAGGTCACATATCTGAATAAGTGGCAGAGCACGGAATTGAATTCAGTTTGTGTCCAAGGCCACATCTTTTTTTTTTTTTTAAATATATTTTATTGATTTTTACAGAGAGGAAAGGAGAGAGATAGAGAGTTAGAAACATCGATCAGCTGCCTCCCGCACATCTCCTACTGGGGGTGTGCCCTCAACCCAGGTACATGCCCTTGACCGGAATCGAACCTGGGACCTTTCAGTCCGCAGGCCGACGCTCTATCCACTGAGCCAAACCGGTTTCGGCACAAGGCCACATCTTAAAGTAGTTCCTCAAGTATGCACTTAAAAATAATTTGTACCTTCTTATCTTAAACTAGAGGCCCAGTGCACAAACTCATGCTCAGGTAGGGTCCCTTGTGGCTGCCGACTGCTGGCCGCCAGCCAGGGCCTTCCTTCATTCCGTGCCTCCCCCTGGTGGTCAGCACTAGTCATGGCGAGCGATCGAACTCCCGGTCTGCCGGTCAAATTCCTGAGGGGACACTTTGCATATTAGGCTTTTATATATATAGATTATTTGTACCTGCTTATCTGTTTTTTCCCTTAAAAATATTAAAGCCTATTTCAAATGTTAATGTATATGATTATTTGCATATTCTGGTTATGAGTTCTAACTAAATGGTTGGTTGTCGTTTATGTGAATGATTATGCCAAAAAATTTTTAAATGTAGAACTGCTGACCCATAAGATATTAAGGAAAGTGTAGCACATTATTTGCCTTTATAATTTCAGGTTAATTTACTTAAATTTCAATTACTTTATATTTTTAATATATTTTTTTATTGATTTCAGAGAGGAAGGGAGAGGGAGAGAGAGATAGAAACATCAATGATGAGAGAGAATCATTGATTGGTTGCCTCTGCACGCCCCCTATGGGGGATGGAGCCCACAACCCTGGCATGTGCCCTTGACTGGAATTGAATCCGGGACCTTTCAGTCCACAGGCCTATGCTCTATCCACTGAGCCAAACCAGTTAGGGCTCAATTACTTTAAATTTACACTGATAAATTTAGCTTTAAAGAATGTTTTAATAACTTTAAGTTTATGTAAATTACATTTATTATGCTCAACTATATCAGAGCCTATGGATATTAAGAAAAATGTTTAAAATGTTAATTTTTACAAATTTATTTTAAAAACTTAACAAATAATGTGTTGTGTTCTATATCAGCAAGAAAGACTATTATTGTTCAGAATATATAATAGGTCCAAAAATATATATTTTATTTCCCTAAATGATTACAAAATTGAAACCACTCTATATTTGAATGCTGTGGATTGTGAAAGTTGCACAGTGCTTCTGGTTGAGGTTGAAGACTATTTTTGAAATTTTCTCTTAATCTGAGAAAAACTAGGTCAAAATGTATATTAAATAGGGCTTTAAAAGTAATTACTATATTTTGGGGCATTACAAATATATATGTATTGAAGTTGGTATATAAAATCTATTTTTTTTCTTAATAAAGTTAGTTATAACAAACATTTAATACCAATAGTATTAGACATAATCTAATACAGTTATACAATTAATGTAAATATAGCTGAGTGTGACCTATTTTCTACATATCACTGTTTTGATGAGCATTATAGTTGACTGAATAGTCAAATAGTTTAAGATTCTTTTACTAAGAATCTTAATTTTTGGAGTTTTATAGGACATATTTTGTGACATTAGAAGATAAACAAGGGGAGATGTTTAATGTCTGACATGGAGAAATTTTAGTTATTGGTGGTGTGTATATGTTGCAGAGGCAACACCTATTTTGCTTGAGTGTCCATGTTTACAAATGACTTGTTTATGTATTTGTGCTCTATCGAAATCTGTGAAATGTAAATTTGATTAGGAGTGGGTATAACTAATATATGCATGTCTTGTTGTCATAGTGGCTTTGGAATTGTTTTCTGTGTAGATTGTTATGTAATCAGGAGCTCCTACAAAATCTGTATGTGGAGTTTCCACAAGATCTACTGATCATGACATATGATTTCAAACCTGTTTTTAGGAAGGGAGCCATCTGTTGCTTCTTATATAATTCTGTGATTATTTTTTGAAATAGCAGATTCCTGGTGTTGCTATTCCCTTTGGGATATTTTTAATTGCTAATTTTTTTGTATTATAGTCCAAGACCTGCAAAATTTACAGAGCGCCCTAGGCCTGGAGTTCAAATGATCTGTTCTTCTTTTAGTGCTGGTAAGAGTTTTTTCTCTCCCTAATTTTCTACTTTAAGTTATACATTAGATCTTTCTCTTTTCCTGGATATTATACAGGGTGGGGCAAAAAATAGGTTTACAGTTGTTGGCATGGAAAATAATTAATAAATAATACAGAATAAACTCTGTTTCACTTACAACTATAATCTTACTTTTGCCCCACCCTGTATTTTCAAATGCAGTTATGAGTTTGAGGTAAGCTGCCCTAGAAAGTTCTCTGCACTGAGTAATTGTTGTGCAAAATGGTAAAATTAACAATGTCACCCATAAGCAAAAGCTTTTAATGTACGCAGCGTATGTACATTGTGTGTAAATACACAAAAACCTTTGTTTCAGAGTTGAGAAAGAAGTGGTAGATCTGTTGATTAAATGCTAAAATTTTCATGGATTAGAGAAAAATAGATTGGTTAAGGCACAGGAGATAAAAATATGACATTTTATGATAAAGACACCATTAGGGTCCCTGACTTCACTTACATACAGCACTGTCATGGATTGAGTGTTTTTGTCCCCTCGTCCCCATGCTGGCACCCTGATCTCAGATTTCTCAGCCTCCAGAACTGTGAGTAATAGATGTCTATTGTTTTTGTTTTGAGAGAGAAAGAGAAGAGGGAAAGGAAAAAAAAAAAGCTAGCTTATAGTGGAACACAGTTTTGGAAAATATTTAGTATTGTAATATAAATCGTATTCTAATACATATGCCAGGGGATGAAAATTAATTTAGAAGTGATTTGAATTTTTTTAGAATTTAGTTTATATACTCATGTGACTAATATTTTTCTTTAAGAAGATTATAATGCTCTAGGACAGTGGTCGGCAAACTCATTAGTCAACAGAGCCAAATATCAACAGTACAACAATTGAAATTTCTCTTTTTTTTAAAATAAATATTTTATTGATTTTTTACAGAGAGGAAGGGAGAGGAATAGAGTTAGAAACATCGATCAGCTGCCTCCTACACACTCCCTACTGAGTATGTGCCTGCAACCAAGGTACATGTCCTTGACCGGAATCGAACCTGGGACCCTTGAGTTCGCAGGCCGCCGCTCTGTTCATTGAGCCAAACCGGTTAGGGCTTGAAATTTCTTTTGAGAGCCAAATTTTTTAAACTTAAACTATATAGATAGGTACATTGTTATTAACTTAATTAGGGTACTCCTAAGGCTTAGGAAGAGCCACACTCAAGGGGCCAGAGAGCCGCATGTGGCTCGCGAGCCGCAGTTTGCCTACCATGGCTCTAGGAGGAGAGAATAAGTAGTTTCAAAATTTACTCTGTTAAGGAATACATCTTTGAGTAGGTATCTTGTTAGAAGAAAGGTACTTTAAATCTGCTTTATATTTTCATAGATTTTGGAGGTATCCCTTAGCTAACTAAAATAAACTTGATAGTTGTACAACGTTATTAATTACTTTGTCAGTTGTTCTTATTTGCTTTTTAAAAATTAGCTGTATAATAATGATGACATTCAAATTAACTTGAGTTTATGTAGCAGCATTTTGAATGGAAATTAATCTTTTTAAACACATTATGATCTGCAGATTTGAATTGAATTGATGACAAGTGAAACATGAATGGATTTTAATATTTAATGTTCCTAGTACTAGTTATTTCCACATTTATTTCCAGTTTTACTTTATCTTTTCATTTCATAATTGTGGATAGCAGTAGTGCCTAAGATAAGTGATAGCAAACTGATGACATGAATGTATTTGAATATCAATATTCAAACATTTTTAATTTCTAACTTCTAGATTTCCACTGTTACTTCCATGAAGACAGTTTTTCTAGTCATAGCACAAATGTGGGCACTATACATGTGTTTGAAGTACTCTAGATACAGTTATACATATAGCACTCACTGTTCTCAACATTGAGGGAGAGTACTGATTCCCAGGAGAGAGTAAATGGAATATATAAACAACTGTAATGGAAGCTAGACTGTGTATGCTATATGACAAAGTCTTAATGAGAGTTCAGAGGAGAGCAGGCTCATTTGATTAAAAAACTTGTAAAGACAATTACCTGAAGGAGTTGGGCCCTAAAAGTTTTATAGAATTTTAACATATGAGAAATAGGGCAAGAGAGAGATTTGACCATTTAAAAGGCATGTTTTCTAGTGAAGATGACTGTTAATTTCAATTTAAGATTATGTAATCACTTAGTGAAACAATTTGTAGTGGAAAGCTTTCTTTCCTAGTTAAAACTATGTTAGCAAACTTCTTTAATTCAGGTTAGATATATACTTAGGATAAATAGGAATAGTTTTAAAGTATTAACCATTTAGTATACATTCTGATAATGTTTGTGTAACATTATCTAATTTTGAAATTGTGTTTTACTCTTAAATGTTTCTATGCTACTATTCTTCAGGTGGAATGTTCCTGGCCACAGGAAGCACAGACCATATTATTAGAGTTTATTTTTTTGGCTCAGGTCAGCCAGAAAAAATATCAGAATTGGAGTTTCATACTGTAAGTATGGGTGAAAAGAATTAGATGAGTACAATTTAAATGAGTCTTAACTGTTTATTTTCAGGATCCTCTTTTTTGTTTATCTGTTTATATATAGGACAAAGTTGATAGTATCCAGTTTTCCAACACTAGTAACAGGTAAGTAATTATTTTTGTTTAATTCCAATTTTTAAATTATGAAATAAAGATAATTTTTATACTCAGATTTTAATTAAAATTATATAGGAATTAACCACCTAAAAGAAAGACCTTAACTAGTTATATTGAAAAGTGTATAGAGCATTCACATGTGAACATATCTTTGTTTCATTTGTAATGTTAGTTTAGTTGGCCATTTTTAATAATAGGGATTTTTATCCACCTTACCTATTTCATATATATATATATATATATATATATATATATATATTAATATACACACACATACATACACAAATCAAAATAAAGGGACACTTAGTAGAGATTGGAAATGTATCACATTGTAATATTTGGGCAGAACTGGTTTTTCCATGTTCTGGTTTTAAAATGAAAGAAAGTTATTTCTAAGAACCTTGAATAGAACGAGTCAAGGTCATTAATATTAAGAGAAAAGTCAGTAATTTTCTATTTGAAAATATCAATTCTTTTTCTAAGGTACTAAATGGTGGCCTCGAAACTCTTTTGGATATTACTTTGAGACCTAGTCATTCATATTAGAATACATGTGTATAAAATTTTAAAAGCCTATAATGTTTCAGGAGTTCTTAAATTTGCATTGAATATCTGGCTGAGTATGAGAATGCTATGTAAATAAAGATGAGTGTTGTCTTTTTGAATATTTTTAAAAACATAACTCTTGGAAAGTTCATTTAGGTAGAACATGTTTAATTTTTATTTTGGTGGTGGACTTTTTAATGCAGGTTTGTAAGTGGGAGTCGTGATGGAACAGCGCGAATTTGGCAATTTAAACGAAGAGAATGGAAGAGCATTTTGTTGGATATGGCTACTCGTCCAGCAGGGTAAGAAATCAAATTTGTTATAATACGTCAGTATAGATAGGTCATTTAGAGTATGCTGTATAACAAACAGGTTGGTGTGTCTCCAAGCCTATAAAAACATATATCATAATCATTTCATAATCATTGTTAAAATGATTGCTTTATGACTAGAGGTTCTACTGGAGAGGAAAGACTTAAATTTTTTTATTTTTTATTCCCCCCCCCTTTATTGTTTAAGATATTACAAATGTGTCTTTATGAGACTTTAATTTTTATAAAATGATTTTTGCACTATTGGAGAAGACCTACTGCATTAATGATGTTTTTTTTTTTTCAGTTCAGTTTTGTTAAGACATGATGGTATTGTAAGAATAGTTTTAACCCTTTGAGTGCCAACAAATATCCTAGGAACTATGCTAAAATTGCCAAGGCATTTTTGCTGATTTTACAGCGGTTTAGAAAAAAAATTAGGAATCGTAAGTAAATGAAGTTACATATTCAAAAACTTAAGGAATCCTTTACTACATTTGTTTTCATCTTTGACATATATTGCTTGCTGATTGTATTATAAAATACTCGTAGAAAAAAAATTTTGAACAAAACATATAATGTTAAAATAGAGGGACACCCTTCTCCAATATCTTCCACAAAATCGTCATCTTCACAGTAAGAATTGACATATTTAGCAATATCATCATCACTAATAAAAGCAGACTTAGAACTGGACCCCATTTCGAAGCTTTAGGGCTACAAAATCTGAGTAAACGTCATAAAATCGTAGTACCTGTAAAAAATTAGGCAGATAAATGGCAGTGGTCAATTTTAGAACTACAAACATTCAGAGTTATAAGTAATCTGCACTTAGGTGCCATCTGTCAATAAAGAGTGAACTACTAGCATCTAATAGCGACACTGCAGGAGGAGTGTGATAGCGCTCCTGGCACTCTAGGGGTTAAGTTTCACTATTTTTTTTTAAAAGCAGAGCATATTATAATGTTACATTTGTCACAGAGGGATCATGTGGTTTATCCAATGGTTTTCTCTAGCCAAAAGAAATGATATTATACCTTGTAACTGTTATTTTGGTCTTAACCATTTTTTTCTATTTGTTTTTGTTTGGTAGTCTTGGATGGAAGAGCAGAGCAGTTAGCAGGGCATGACAGTAACAGTAAAAGATGGAGAGCAGCATGACACAGAGTTCCAGGGTCCAGATAGAGTTAAAGCAGTGACGTTTATTTTGAAGGCTTATTAGGAGTGCTGGAAATCCTGGGTTTGCTGACTTGGTGCAGTGATCTTTGCCGTCATCTTATGTTTATTCAAACTGTTCTTAACTGCTAGGTGATAGTTATGTTACTGAATATAAGTTATATGAAAATACATTTAGCTTTTTGTCATACTTGTATTTTAATAAATAGTGTCAGTGTAAACAAATACTGTCTCCATCACTTTCAGTCAAAACCTTCAAGGAATAGAAGATAAAATCACAAAGATGAAAGTAACTATGGTGGCGTGGGATCGACATGACAATACAGTTATAACTGCAGTGAATAACATGACTCTGAAAGTTTGGAATTCTTACACCGGTCAACTAATTCATGTTCTCCTGGTGAGAAAAAAAGATTAAAATTTATTTGGTATAATTAAAACTGATTGTAAAATTCAATATTTTCATTTAGGAATAGTCTTACATTAGCTAAAATCTCTAACTTGCTAGATGGGTAACTTGCCAAAGACTGGAAATAATTTTAAAATACAATTAAATGGGTTCGGCTTGGAAATACAGATCCATGCTGTTTGTTAGTATATAGGGTTGCATCAATAGTATTCTCAGGTTTCACCAAATGATAGCAAACTCTGGACAGTGATATTAGCTCAGCTTCATTATTATACATTGATAAATATGAAGATTTTGCCACCTTAATTCTGAAAACTCAGAACTTCGAAACGTTTCCATATTGTTGGATGGAATTTTCTTTTTTAATATTTATAATTCTTTGCTACTTCAAAAATACTTTAGGGTCATGAAGATGAGGTATTTGTTCTTGAGCCACACCCATTTGATCCAAGAGTTCTCTTTTCTGCTGGTCATGATGGAAACGTGATAGTATGGGATCTGGCAAGAGGAGTCAAAATTCGATCTTACTTCAATATGGTAATTATCAGTCTCTTTATAGCTATTAAAGATTTGGGGACTTAATTGACTCAGGTACTCTCCATATCACAAAGGAAATCCATTTATGAATAAGTTCAGACATTATTTTGATTTAAAGTTTCAGAAAGTTGCTTATTTCACACTTTTATTTACATGCTATATTTAAAGGAAAATTAATTATGCATCTTACAATACATATGAATATTATGATAACTAAGCTAATTTTTAAAATAGTTTTAATAGTGAAACTTTGAGAAACAAGTATGACGATACAATATAGAAAGAACAAAAGTTTGGAAAACTTATGTGAAGAAATTGTAAATAAATTTTTATATTGTGGTATTGTATTTCACCAGTAGTCCTGTAGTACAACATAATTTAATTAAAATACACCCATTTTAAAATGAAAGCCACAGAAATCAGCCATTCTTTCCTTTTACCAAATTGTAGTACATTAGATATTTATTTGTGATTAAGCACTCTTTCCTCCATATTTTGTTGCTTATATAGATTTTAGTGTATTTTGCTGAAAACTTGGAATTGCAGTGGTTTGATATCACATCTTATTCTGTAGTGTTTTCAAGAAGTGCTTCTTTCTTAAATACTGCTTAGTTACATTTTGTTGCTCTACTTCCTATACATCAATGATACCTTAAAAATAAAAACAAAAACGTGTCTACTATTTCGGCATGTTTAGATATTTTTAGAAATCAAGGATAGAAATCTTTGGTAATAAATCATAAAATAATGCAATTAATAGTGTGGTTGGTCAGTTATTTTGCAAAAATAATTGTTTCACAAAACAGTCTTGGGAAATATAATACTTTGTGAAAAAATTTCATGAAAGTGATACCATAGTTGATTGATCATAATAGAGTTACATCTATGTAGTAAGAAATCATTGATCAAAACAGTTGAGGGAGGATTAAGCAGAAGATAAAAGGAATAATTTTATTAATGAAGGAATTGACTAGCTGTCTTTATTGATATGCCTTAATGTACAATAAGGTAAGAAATAAGATTTTTCAAATTCTTATTTTTCTAAAAAGACAGCGTTAATTTATTTGGGGTACAATTGTTAGTGATGGATGGATTTCCTTAGTGATTATATGTATAGAGGAGACTTTTTAAAAACAAATCTTTAAATATGCTGGTAAAGAATATTCAGCTCTTCTTTCTATCCTTGTGTTTTCTGGTTTGCTTCTTTTTGGGACATTTCTATTGAATGTGGAAATTAGAAAAGAAAACAATTTGTCTATACTTATATTACTTTAGTAATTTTATATTTTCAAAGGGCATTGGTATATTAATAGAGTGTTTAGAGGGAAAGTTTTCTCTTACTTGAGTACTGCTGTCACCTTTAAGTTATAAATGTGAATTTATTTATTGTCAGGTAAGTCTATCATACTAATATTCGATTTTATCAGTAGATATAAAAATTGAAGCACCTTGAGATTGAAAAGGTTTTCTCTTAGGCCATTACAAATTAGTGATATAATCAGGAGTAGAAGTCACCAATATTATATTGTATATTCTTTCAAATTAGCAAAGGAGGTTAGTTATAATACTGCCTTAAAAATTATTTCTTGTTTAATGAGTGTTTTAGATAAGGATATTTTCCCTGCTCTTTTTAATAAGAAATTAAAAGCCTTTAAATGGCAGAAGAAACAAATTTATATAATAAGTAGAACCAAAAAGGATTAAAAATAAATCTTGCATTTAACAAAACAGAAAATGAACTACTCTATCTCATTAACATAAAAATATGCTGTTTAATTTTTTGGATGATTTTTAAAGGCTTCCAAAATACTTCTGCATACTATTTCATTAGTGTCTTATGAAAAGCTTGTAAGATAATAAGGGTAGATTTTACTGTTACTGGCTTTGCAAATGGAGAAACTACACAGAGATAAATGCTTTGCTTAGTGTCAGCTAGGTCACACAGCTATTATATGGGTACTTGTAACTTAAAACCAGTTTTTCTATCCTTTGTTAATGTGTTCTTAATGCTAACTCTAGTTGGGTTAAGTTATTGCACAGCTAACTTCCAACTCTACCCAGTTAGTGATGTGTGCAGTGGGAAAATACTTTTTAAATGAAATTAACTCCAAGTAGATCTCTTAAGATATAAGTTAGCTTGATAAGTTTTTTTTCTCTTAATTTGAAGTCACCTATATACCCTGATTTTTGCTCTTTACTCTTTTGGTGTTGGTTTTTTTTTTCCATTGTTTGTTTTATCTATGGGCATATGGAAGATAAAGCATCCAGCATTGCTATTAAGAAAATTAAAACAACTTGAGGGAGGAGTAGAAGCTTGTGTTCACGGTACACTATCCTGAATGTTGAATGTTGGCTGTAGTTATAACTCTTGGGCTCTCTGTAGCTAATAAGTAAGCTTTGGTGTTGCTAAAATTACCATATGTTGATTGAGTACAAATTCAATTCCTGACGTTAAATTGAACTAGTAACCATAAGTTCGAATTAGTAATTATTTTATCGTTTCCTATGTAAACCGCACTAGGTACGGTGAAAGTTTAGAGCAAGTATTAAGATTAGTATTATTAGTATTTTGTGTGAGTTTTAAAATCAAACTTATAACATGAATAAGTAATTTCACCATTAAATCTATGGCCAGAAAGTAAGGAATGTAAATAGTGCCTTTATTTATTTACTTTAAATATGTATTTATTTATTTTTAGAGAGAGAGGAAGGGAGAGAAACTTCCATGAGAAAGAAACATTAATCCGTTGCCTTCTGCATGTTCCCTATTGGAGATTGAGCCTACAACCTGTGCCCCAACAAGTAATTTAACCAGTGACCTGTCAGTGCATAGGAAGATGCTCAACCAACTGAGCCACATTGTCCAAGGCTAAATTGTGCCTTTAAAAGAACAAAAAATTTACATACAAATTCTTAAAACAGGTTTTTATCAAGTATATTATGAGAATATTGTTTCAGTATTGGTCATGCCCCCCCCCCTTCCCTTTTTTTTTTCTTTTAAATCCTCACCTGAGAATATTTTTTCCATTGATTTTTTTTTTTAGAGAATAGGGATGAGGGGAGGAGAGAGAGACAGATACAAACATCGATGTGAGGGAGACACATAGATTGGTTTTGGTTGCTTTGCTCACACCCCTGGAGCAGAGCCAAGGATTGAGCCTGCAACAGAGGTAGAGATACTTGCCCTTTACCAGGAATCAAACTCACAACCCTTCGGACTATGGCCGACAGTCTAACCACTGGGAAAACTGGCCAAGGCTCCCCCTTTTTATGATCATTTAATTTTCTATTTGAAAGTTATACCTTTAAAAGGTAATGAAATAATGTAATAAGTAATTATTTTGTATTAAAGCATTTTATTATACTTATTTATTACAGAAATTAAAATTGTTTTATGAAATTTTAGGAATAGTAAAAAGTCCTGTATCATCAGAAAGCCTTTTAAAGGTGAAAGGTTGAATTTTTAAATGCCTATGTTTTGTATATAGTAATTATGTTTTAATAAATAACTTTTTAATGCTTTTAATGAATTTAAAATATTGAGCCATTAATATTTTAATATTGCACGGATATTCATCATTCAGATATTCTATTTTTTTCTGCAGCAAGCTATGATAACACTTAAAAATTTTATACTTTATTTTAGCATCACCCAAATATGTAAAAATTTTTACGACTGAGAATTGAGATAAAGATTTAATTCCTTATATGCTTACATAATTCCCTAATTTATTTCATTTCCAAATCTTATAAATAAATTCTCAACTTGCTAGTGGAATTTTCTATAAAAGTGATGGAGTAATTTTCATTATTTTTACTGCTAGCTTTATTGTTAATTGAGGAACTGAATAATAAAAGCAGTTGGAGAATGAATGCTGAGTTTTGTTATAAGAAGTACATGTCAAGTGACATATGGTATGAAATGGAATGGACAATGTATATTCCTTGTACTCTCCCCCTTGTCTCCTTTTAAAAAATGAAATAATCTTAAAATGAACTTTTAAAAGCACTTATTGGAAAAGCATAATATATAAGGTAGAAACGTTGAACCCTTATTTTTTTCTTTTAATGAACCTAAGAAAGAAGCTAAAGAGGATATTATCGAGAAGGTTATAAACATAAGACAAATTCTATTGTTAAAAATCTGAATTCTCAACCTTAAACTTTACTTATCTACATTCCTTTTAAAAGTATGTAAATTTATTCATCTTTTAGCTGAACAGTCCTTATATAACTTGAGTGTTCAGGGCAAAAGTAGAGTATATTTGGACATCTTTTGAAGACAGATAGTGTATATTAAGAATACTCTTGCCGAAACCGGTTTGGCTCAGTGGATAGAGCGTTGGCCTGCGGACTGAAAGGTCCCAGGTTCGATTCCGGTCAAGGGCATGTACATGGGTTGCGGGCATATCCCCAGTAGGAGATGTGCAGGAGGCAGCTGGTCAATGTTTCTCTCTCATCGATGTTTCTGACTCTCTATCCCTCTCCCTTCCTGTCTGTAAAAAATCAATAAAATATATTTAAAATAAAAAAGAATACTCTTAACTCTCTGGGTATAGTTAGTAAGCCCACATATTTGTGTTTAGTAGTGGCAGGAGGTTAATATCAATATAGTTTTGTTTTGATGAAAGTTGTTCTGAACTCTATTTTAAAAGCTCTAAACTCCCAATTAATTACTGAGAGGCAGATAAATTAGTCCCGGAAATAACTTGAAAATGTATACAAATTCACTGAACTGAAGCTGAGGGCGTTTGTAATATTTTAATTCCCTGAAAGAGGTAGGCAAGTTAAGAAGTTTATATAAGCATAAATGTCTTTAAATTTAAAAGTTGATTTTTTTAGCACTTGTTCTCTTAAATTATCAGAGCACAGCTAAGTTTTAACTACAAATTTAACTAAATGAATATTAAATTCATTTTGAAAGATATGAAAAGAGACTTTTAAATTTCTTAGTACTAGGCCATTTGATTATTAGGTAGTAAATAAAAGATGTTTGGAGT